GGAGATGTGTCCCTTGGCAATAGAAAGATAAAATGGAGTAGAGTTTTGGCCTTTGTTGGGCTGCTCTGGGTTTTCCTGGCTTGACACTTTTCATGAGCCAAGGTGTATCTACTGTCTTTCACCAGACTGTACCGCACCAAAAATCAGACACAAATAATGAGATCTTAGAAGTATTGGGAAAAACACATTTTCAGGGCACCTTGGAAAGTATATTTGTCCTGATGGGATGATTTCCAGAGTGAATTGCAATGAGGCTGGTGAAGGGACTGGAGCACAAGTGCCATGAGGAGAGGCTGAGGGAGCTGGGGTTGGTTAGCCTGGACAAGAGGAGGCTCAGGGGAGACCTTATCACCCTTTAAAACTCCCTGACAGGAGGTTGTAGTCAGGTGGGGGTTGGTTTCTTCTTCCAGGCAACCAGCAGTAGGACAAGAGGGCACAGACTCAAGCTCTGCCAGGGGAAGTTCAGGTTGGATATTAAGAAGAGATTTTTTTTTTATGGAGAGAGTAATCAGACATCGAAATGAGCTGCCAAGGGAGGTGGTGGATTCACCATCCCTGGAGGTTTTCAAGATGAGACTGGACATGGCACTTAGTGCCATGGTCTAGTAACAACGGTAGGGTTGGACTCGATGATCTTTGAGGTCTCTTCCAACCCAGCTGATTCTATGATTCTATGATTCAATTTGTGTCTCCAATCCACATTCTCTTTTTCTCTTTGTAGCACTACAAATCTGGGGCAGGAAGAGGCTCAAAGCATGAGTTCACTCGCCCACAAGGTACAAAGTCAAATCCAATAGGTTTCATGACAGTAAGAATGATCTGCCTGTCTGTATCCATGCTGTGCAAGTCGTTAGTAAGCATGTCTTTGTTTCAACATGAATAAGGATTAAGGAATGGTTATGCCAATATTAATTTCTGTGTACAGGGGAATTTGGGATTAGCTCAGGAATCTCAGGTAATTTTCCTTCAGATGCAGATTAATGGGAAAGTGCTGATGGGATTTTAGTTTGTCTGAGCTGGTGTGACTTTATATTCACTCATACAGTGGTGTGGCTGGGAGTGTGTAGCTCCTTTTACTTTAAATCAGAGTTGTGCTTGCTCTGTGACTTTAAAGCACATAAACTCTACAGGCTCAATTTCTACCACAGCCCTTGATCTCTCTGTGGGAGAAGGGTTTGAGAGCCATGCAGCTTGCTGGGCTGCATTTGTTCTGATGGCACTCCAATGATCAGACATCCTGTCTGTGCTTGGGCATTGCAGACTTTCATCTTTACAGCTGTTATCATCCTATGCTTATGCTGTTTAAGGTTACATGAATTGGGCCATTAGTGGTGCCTTTATAGCTTATAATAGTCTTCAATGGCCTTTGGGATACAATATGTCTTCTGAATGGGGATGTATTTTCACAGTTCTCCTAACTGCTTATAACAGAAGGTATCAGACAGAGAAGGTAGATATTGAGCATTTGCTTAATTAGTTCAGACAATGAAAACTTGGATTGACAAGAGGATGGCAGAGGGGTTGGGACAGTGGCTATTCAAATTGACAGAGAAGAGGACAGTTAGGGCAGATGGAGTCATCATAATTCCATCTGATTAGGAAGGTTTTGGACCACAGGGATGGGTTATTTTTTCTGTAATGCTAGTAACTGACCTCAGCAGCTGTTTGAGATGATGAGTCTGGGTTCATGAGGGTTAACAGATATCGTAAGGGTGTGCAAAGGCCCAGACATAGTGGAAGAGGTAAGCTCAGGACAAGGAGTACATTGTTGCTGAGAAATGGAAATGCACTGTACTGCCAGTTTGGTTGTACTCCCCCTATTTCTCTCCTACAACAGTGGTTGACTTCCTAGTCACACTTTGGGCTTTCAATACTGGTTGCTTTTAGTTTAGTGGTTAAATAAGCTCTGACAGTTTTTAATTGTCTTTATTATCTTCAGTCTCTCTCAATCTCAAGACTTGTCTTGAAGGATTTTTTTCTGCTGGACTCCCACTAGCCTTTCTTAGACTCCCACCACCCTTCCTTAGACTGCCGTCACTGACATGGTGAATGTAAAACTTGCCCTTTTTAGACACTGGTCCCATCAGTTTCTCCCCACTTGTAAGGACTTTGTTTATCCCAAAGGGAAGGTGGTATGATCAAAATTATCTGCCTTCCTCCAACTTTTAAAGCTGCCTTCTTCCTGACTGTTTCTATTTCAGTTTGTACTGGCTGGTTCCTTAATTGTTTTAAACAGATGCTACAATGTGATATGGAGCCTGAAAGGATACTACTTCAGAAATCAATTTAATACACTATTACAATCCTACATAATTAGAAATTATAATTGCAATTAATGTATATAATTGGCATTTGCTATACCAGAAATTGCAATATATTTCAAACTGAAATGATCCAAGATCTTTATTCTACCACAGAGCCCATTAATCTTTGTTGATTCAGTCATTACGTAAGATTTTAAGCCTCTTCTTACGCACTGAAGTTGCAGAGACAGAGTCCAAAGTACAACTGAAAAACTTGTAGATATCTATCTTCATAATGTCATATAATAGCATATAACATATATATACCTGTGGGTTGGTGTTCAGCTGCATGATGAGTATTTTATTCTTGTATTTCAGTGTTTACAGAGGATGGAAATTTATGCAAGTTTCCTTTCCGGTATGGTGGAAGGTTTTATCACTCGTGTGTATCAAATAGATTTTCCATAAGGAAATGGTAAGCTGACATTTCTCACAAATGAAGACAGCATTTAAGTGAAAATGTCATCCTCTTAGTGCTTTTAATCTTGCTTTTAGAATAATTAACTGGAGCTTGATGTGGTGCCTGAGTAGACCAGTGCAGTTCTCCTGCTGATTGTCATGGCCCTGAGGTCAAGAGTCATGCTCAGGGTAGAGGGAGCCCTGGGCACCAGGTCTCTAGGGCTGCAGAAAGCTCAGGAACTGCAGAAATGTTTCCTTGCTGCCATTCATGCTGGAATTGCAACTTACATGAATGACAAAACTTGTACCGAAAAAGCAGAACGGATGGAACAACCTGATAGCAACCCTCTGCTGAGGGAGAGAGATACAGACCCCTGTAAGAGAGGACTCTTGGTTAAGGAATTGTTTGGTTTGTGCAGGCTGTACTTTTATTGCAGCATAGATCATCTGATTTTTGAGGAAAGTTGTTTTCCCCACCACAACCAAGCTCTAATTTCTATCCACCTTGGCACCAGGCCCCTTTGGACAGTGCACTACCAAAAAGTGAGGTATTAGTCCTGTTTGTTGGGTAATGATTTATTCTACTAGTGTGTTTAAGGTCAGGTCTCCTTCTTTTGGGCAAAGGTTACTCATTTACATATGCAGAAGCTGTTAAAAGTATCCATAATTCATTTTGGGGTTGGGGCAGTCAGGTAGGAATCCTACTGAAACAAGCACTGAATAAACAAAATTAACTTTGCAGACAAACCCATGTAATAGCTGTATACTAACAGAAATCAAAGGCAACAAAGCAGGGAATATGTGGGTACCAGTAATGTGAAAATATATGCCCAGATGAGCCATGTGAAGGGTAAATACTTGCATGTATTCAGGATGGAGATAATATTTTAGAGTTTATTTTACTCTCCCATGCAGGGCAGACCTCTCATTTTTTTATACTGGACTGTCTAATTTTTTCATGATCTGTGGCATCTCTCTGGTGACACATCTATTTTAAGTGTAAGTGCTGGTGTAATGTAAACAATACAGCACACACCTGCTTGCACAAATAGACAGAGAGCTTCAGGCTAGGAGACCACTTAGGAATTTCCCCAATATCCAGAGACACAACCTGGATAAGAATAGCCTTCAGGAAACAAGAATTTGAGACTATCTTAACTAAAGAAAGGGAACTGGGATAATTTTCCAGTTTGAACTCTGCCTTTGATGAACTGTAGCCACAAAGTGTTTCACCTTTGGACCCACTTAATTTCATGCAACGCTTAAGATGGATCCTGTTAATACATGACACTCTGTGTATTTGTTTTTATCCTGTTAGGCCACAGAAATGGAAAAACCTGTGAATGGGATCCAAGGTTAGAGCACACTTTAGAGCTGATCCTGTACAACTTGCTCTCATGCTTCCGATATTTGAAAAGCCATTTCCAAGCAGGGAGATGAGGAGGAGGACAGCTGGGGCTGTTTGGTTTTGACAGGCCATTTCACCCTATGGCTGACCTTCTGGCCAGTGTTTACTCAAAAGCTAAAAGCAACCTGATGTGTGACTTCAGGCACAAAGATGCTGGTAAAAGAGCCCTGAATAGCAGTCGGGAAACCTGCTCTGTGCATTTTTGTGTGACTTGGCAGCAACCCATGCTGGTCTGATGGTGAATAACTGATCCCACAGGACCTGGTAGGCACCAGGTGAGGGCAAGGCTTGTGTTCCCTCTGCTTCTGCCTGCTGCAAGCTGTTAGTAAGAACAGAGGTGAAGGGTGTCTGAATGCACCTTGCTACTTTGGGGGCAAACACAAGGAAACCAGATCAGGAGAGCACTGGCTTAATGCACTTATGTCCATGTCCTTAGTCCTTGAGTCATACTTTAAGGCAGGACTACAGGCAGAACTTTGCAGTGCAGGCCAAAGCTTACTCCAATTGGCTTTAAGTTTATGTTTTCTCATACTACTTATCACACATATAGTGCTTTTCAACATAAATCAGCTCCTGACCTCAGAAAGCTCTCTCTACTTTCTCTGAGAGCAACAAACAAATGCTATCTTTATAAATATTTATTGAAAAGATGAGAAAGAAGACAAAATAATTGCAGTATTTAAATAACAGTATTTAAATAACAGACTTCCTTTCACAGCATCCTGTATTGCATTTGCCTTTAATTATAATCTGTTTTCACAGATAAATTTCTATTTAGTGGCCTCTTACCAAGTATTAAGTGTATCATGGAAACTTACCTTTTGTGCTGAAGACAAAAAGCTAGCTGAAATTGCTGCTGGATTTTATTGGTCTCTCCAGGAAAAAACCAACAGCATAGGGACAGACAAAATGGGGTTGGAATGAACACCTGTGAGAACACATGAGGAGGGTGGTCTGAATTGAAGCAAGCTGTGGCTGCAGGGAAGCTGCCAACACCGTGCCCCTGTGATCCATGGTGAGATGGGTTTCTCTGAAATTCTGCTCAAGGGAAATGATGGGAGACCTTGGCTGAGAATTTGGCTGTAAATTGGAAGGTGTTGACTCATAGCCTGGAGAAGCCTTATCCTGTGCTTGAGTGCTGGATGTGCAAGTCCCTTGTGCAAGGGTGGGCTTAGGTCTGTATAGGAAGGGAATGATCTTACCATCTTCTATGGAAACAAGAAGGTAACTTTTGATACTTTTACCACAGACTGAAAAGAGTGCAGAGGATGGCTCTTTGGCTAGCTAGATTACAAACTGGAGAGTTTATGACAATCCTGGAAAGGAGAAGCACATGTGTGTTGAGCTGGGAGATATCAAGCATCAGCCTCTGACTTTTTCTGATGCTGGTGATGGTTGGTTGATGGCAGACCTTTTCCTTCCACCAGTCTGCCTTTGCTTGCTCTCAGAAACATCCTATTGTTCAGGCTTCCAATGCTCCTGATGGGTAAAATGGCCCTCTTTCCATTTACCCTCCCTGCCAGTTAGGCCTCATCTGTGATACACCATTTTGTTTGTCCATTCCCACGTTGTTTACCATGCATGGGTTAAAAATGTTATTTAAGTCAATCCGTAGTAGTGGACTTTTCTGGTGTAATTAATTCAGTATCTGTCTTTAAGTTTTGACTTTTTTATTAACAGCTTTATATGACAGGCTGATGTAAAGACATTTGCTATCTCATAAATTTTGTGTGTGGGTGCATTTGCAAATAACACAAAGAAATAATAAGCCCAGTGGGTTAGTCTGGCTGCTGGAGGTAACATCCCACAAGACTGAAATGTCCTCACATTTCTGGTAAGCCTCCAAGCGAAGAAGACACTTTAAAAAAAAAAAGAAGGGAGTCAAGTGAAGTAGCTTTGAGAATGTGCTGAGGTTCTCCTAGACAGTGAGAGATGTGGAAAATACAGAAGGATTATGTGACTGTGCTAGAAGCCTGGCACCAGGGAGGCAGCTTGACATCACAAGGGAGGACAAAGAGCAGGGACCGTTCAGCATGGGAAAGAGGGGGCTGGCTGTGGAAAGCATTGAGTGGGAGGACTAGTGGGTTGTGGAAATCTGGTGGAATAAGCCTCTGTTGGGGTCTCTGATAATAAAAAGTGTTTAAGACAGAAAAATTAGAGTTCTCCCTTTGCGTGGAACTTGGCTGCTGCTGGACAGACTCCAGAGAGCATTAATTTGCATGCAAACGTTGTTCCCTCTCAAGGATCAGAGTTTTCTTGCATCTCTTAGGTTTATACAGAGCCTTTTCCATTTCCCTCTTCCATGCTGCCCAGTGTAATGTCACTCTGCTAAATCAAATTATGCCAGTCAGAAAAGTTTGGATTCTCCTCCCCTGTCATGGCTGGCAGAGATGCAGTGTTCAGCCAGAGACAGTTTTGCCAACAGTGACACAAGCAGTGCCATGAGCCACTTTTAATTCATTCCTTGCCTTAATCCTCATGCATACCAGACCATACTTTAAAAAAGCACAATCCACTTTCCACCCAAGGAGCACAGAGAAATTTCCATCAACTCCAGCAGTATCGCACTGGCCTTTAATGCCTGTGAGAAAACAGCCTTTTAAAGTACATGCCAAGTTAATCTGCACTAGACTGCCAAGCACCTTTCTTTTAGTGCACCTTCTGTAATTGAGGTCACTGGATTTCGTATAGGTGGGGCTATTCAGGAAGTAATAGGAATTAAGCATTTTAAATACCAGGTAGCATCTAATTAAGAAGGAAAGTAGGGCAGTTAAAATGGCAGACATGCATTACAACAAAATTTCAATCTAGCTGCTGATGTCCTAGGGTGAAAACACGTTTGATCACAAAACTATTCAAGGTATGATAAAACCATGCATATTAAAAATAGGCCATCAGGCACATTAAATAAAGTAAATTCCAAATTTTTCTACTGCCGTGTAGCTGATATTTATTACTCTGCATTAGAACTGGTTAGGGAGGATGTGTTCATGGATGGCACATTGGGACAGCACATGGACCTGCAAGGTTCAGCCTCAGTTCAGCCTCATGTGGCTCCCTGTGTGTCCTCAGGGAAGCCTATAAGATACTTCTGCAAATGAGGAAGAGCAGCTCAATGCTGCTTGGAGTGCTCTGAGCCTTGGAGATAACAGACTGGTGAGGGCAAGGAAAGTGTGCAGACACCAGTTGTCAAAATTCGTCTTGCTAGGATTCCCATGGGCCATGTGGCATGCAGGACTCAGTCCCCTGCTCTGAAAAAGGGAAAGATTTTATCTACATGTTTGGAAATCACCACCATGTCTGTTATTTCCTCATTTCATTTAGCAAGTTCCCAAATAAGAATGCTTTAAAGGAACTGAGTGAGAAATATGTTTGCCACTGTCAGCCAGGGAAAAGTCCCTCTGTGGACAGTCTCACACCTCCATGGATTATTAAAGTAACCATCAGGCATCAAAAATGGTCTGGGTCCTGTTTTGCTTGTTTTGTAATGAGTAAAGGAGACATAATTTATTTGCTTTGGGTGTTTTGTTTTTTTTAAATTTCTGTCTTTCATTTTCTAAACTTAGAAATTGAAAGAATGTTGAGGTTTTTTCTGGAGGATTCATTGGAAACCTCAGGTCCTGCTTCTACATCTCATTCTTAATCTGTTTTTGATTTGAGACAAATGGAGCAGAGCAACTTTGACCCAAAAAAAAAAAAAGCATGTTTTTCCTCTGGTGTTAAGAGAGTTTGAATGAAACAGATGCTAATTGGAAAAAAAAAGTATGAATTTCCAGGTTGCTGAAGTGTGAAGGCAATGTAGTTTCAGTGAAAGCATCCAGGTTGTTTAAAGCTGCACTAAGCTTCCCCTTTGATTCTTTTCAGGTGTTCAACAACACATAACTTTGACCGGGATGGGAGCTGGGGACACTGTGTTTTGTTGCCCAAAGACCACTCAGGTAAGGTGAGCTATTGATGATTTGCACCTGTAGATAGGAGGGACAGTGCTTTTAGTATTTTTATTGGGTGTTTGCAAGCCTTCCAAGCTGTTTCCATAATCTTTCCGTGACTCTGCACAATCATAGCATTAGGTTGTGAATATACCACAGTCTTTAATTCACTCTCTGTTGACTAACTTGAAGTCAAGGAGGGAAATTATGGTAATGCCAACATGGAAATCTGAACTCCTGTTGGAGCAGAGCACAGAGATGATCTGCTCCTCCCTCACTGCTTGGATGTGCCTTTTAGCTTTTCCTTCATTTAATCAGCTGTGTTTTCTGTCTGTTTGACCAGTTAATTTTTTAGAAGGCACAGAAATATTTCACACTGTACAACACACAGCCATCACTTCCATCTGTCCTTTCTTGAGTTCTCATGGGAAAGAGCAGACCTCAAAACCAGACATTCTCGGGCTTTGGGCTGTGTCAGGAGAAGACAAGAGGCCAGACACATTCATTGCAGGAGTCCTGAGGGGCAACAAAAGGCTTACTTACAGTGCTGTGTCTTCATGTGGTCTCCACACTCCAGTGCTACAACTACCTTATTGCGAAAGTCAGTCTGAAACGGGAAGTGAAGGTCTGTGACAAACTCTCCTTTCTATATATATGTAGGTGAAGTCACTTAAAATTAACACAGTGGGAGAAAGTGCCACATCCCAAAACGTTCAGTTGGGAACAGGCATCCCTGTCCTCAGCAGTACCTCAGTGACAGGTCTTTGCTTGCCTCTATCTCCCTAGCTCCATGTTTCAAGAGCTGGATGCTGGGGAATCTCATTTTATAAGGAATGTATATATTTAATTCTCAATTCATACAGCCCCAGATCAGCATTGAAAAATTGAGTGTTGCACTGGTCAAAATTGATGCCCCTGAGGGTTTTTTTGGATCTGTGTCTAAATGCTGATTGTGTTCCTCTTTTTGCCATCTCACTACTTCCAAGTGTCTTATTCAGTCTGCAGAATATGACCAGGTGCCCTTAGACATTCACTTGTCACTTTGAAATGAAGGCCATTTCCCACCCTCCCTTTCAGGGAGTCCTCCACAGTGTCAGGAGTCTTATTGCCAAGCTGATTGCAATCTACCAGAACACTTGAAAAGCCAACATTAGCTGAATCATGCTGACAGTTGAAAATTAAGCAGTGCACAGCATCACCTATTTGAACTTAACAGCTTTAAATTATTTTCCAGCCTGGCTTTAAAACAGATTAACAGTAGATCAGAGACAAATGACCTAACCCCAAAACAAGCAGCAATGTATGTGCCTTTGTAATGCAAGTGTGTCAGACATGAACATAGACTTTATAGGCAGTTCATGCTTATAATTCAGATTATGAGGGCTGCACTTAGTTATTCGTGAGTGCCCTCCCAGAGCTTAAAATATTGGTGACTCTAACTCGTGACTGCTTTAATCCTCCAGTGAAACACTGACTGTCACAGTGACAGCTGGCTGACTCAAGGAGGCTCTTCTAGGAGCTGAAAGAGCTCTCCAAGCCTAGTGTTGCATTTCTGAGTGTGCCTTGTGCCACCTCTGTCTTTTTGAGCCATTTTGAGCTTCTGGCTCATTTTTCCTGCTATCCACAACAGTGTTGGATAGGGTGGGTTGGAACAAGAAAGCCACCCTGTCTGCCTGCTCCTTGCTGAGGGGTATCTCTGTAAATGTACCTTATATCAGTGAAGGCTTTCCCTGCCTACTGCTTTTCCTCCAGAAAAAAAAAAAAAGAAGTTATATGTGTGAGAGAGGAAAGAAAAGAAAAAAAATGATAGGGTAGCTGGAAGAGATCACTGCTGGCTGTTGCAAGATAAAAAAAACCCCAACTTTATTTCTGGAAGCATTAAGAATTTTTAAAAATTATGTAAAAGATTTTTAGCTATAATTTTATTCATAAACACAAGTCTACTTAGTCTTTTTTTTAAGCAGCAGGCACTTTGAAAATATTTAACAGGTCATTGGCCACAGCTTAAAGACAAAAGGTTTACGGTGAGGTGGAAAGGAAAGGTGACATAATGGATGAAAAGAATTTCAAACAAACAGGAAGAAAGTTTGTCTGCTGTGGAAGACAGCTGGGAAGAAATAAGTAGTCAAACCGAACAATGCTGATCTTTAAAATGTGTAAAATAATATGATTTTGTTGTGAAAAAGTCCACTCAAATATTAAATCTTTGGGGGAATCTCAACATTTTATAGATGCTTGAGAAACAAGAAAAAATGAAGTTTTGGGGAGAGAGTATCCTTTGGCTATGAGAGGTTGGTGAGAAGTGTGTCAACTAGGGTGGAAAAGGAGCTGCTTGAAAGCAAAAGTTGAAGCACAAAACCTCTCCAAGCCAAGAATAGCATGTGTATGTGGGGAGTCTACTTCAAAACATTGGAGATGCTTACAAATCAATGCTAAGCAAGTGTTGGAGGCATTGATCCAGAAAAATACATCTGCCAAATTCATGGGAAAGTTTAACCAAAAAGTCTTTAGCTTCAGGATGAAGTGAAGCTTGGGTATGAAGTTTGTGCTGAAGGGAGGTGTCAGTACTGCACTGTGCAACTGCCCCCAACATCTGTGGGAGTTCTATCACTGTCTTCAGGAGGTATTTGTTCAGGCATATATTTCCAGACAATCCTCCAGTCCTTCCCAGGTGGTACCTTTGGTGTGTGTGCATACTAGTTGCCCATTGTGATCCCCTTCATACACATGGGCCAACTGGGCTGTGCATGCATAGCTCAAATATATGTACACATATGCATAAATGTTCAGTGCCCCTATATGTGGGACTTCCAGATCTTGGGCAGTCTGGTGGGACTACTGCTCCAAATGTCTGGAAATCTTGGACAAGTGGCCAAAGGAGGGAAACCCAAACATGGGAAAAATGTGCCAGACAGTGAGTATTTTAAAAATATATTTGGACTTATATGGAAAGAAGAAGTAGAACACTGTGGGCTGTGCAGACAGGAGGAAGAGGCATCATCCCAGAAGGGACTTTGGGGAAGGTGAGTGACAGAAACAGAAAGTTTTTGTTGGGAGATATGGGTACAAACGTAAGACAAGGCTACTGCTCATTCAGCAGAGACTCAGAGAGGTGAAGCTGAAGTCAAGATGACTGCTAGCAGGCATGGAGTGTTTTGCCCATGAGGGTGTTTAGACATTGCTGAGAAGGCAGGGACTTGGCACTTCCCAGTTAATGGACAGTTAATGGTGGGCAGGATTTTCCACAGGGAACGGTGATGTGTTCACATGCTTATGAGAAAAAGTTGTTCCTGGACTCTAGGAAAGGTGGAGAGGGACACAGAAGACCTCTGGGAGGTCAGGCTGGAGTGGTGGGTGGAATATGGTGAGGGACTCTGACTGGTATAGAAATGGAGGTCTGGAAGTGCTTTTTTTTCAGATTTAACAAGGGTACAAAAAAATTACTTGAGCACTTGTCCTATCAAGATGGCTTGGAGATCAAGTCATGGTTTGATGTAATGGGGATAGGAAATACAGGATTTTCCTTTGAGGAAACATTACGCCACTAGAAGTTTCCTAACTATCAACAGCAGGAAGAGTAGGAATGTCACTGACTCTAGCTGCTTTCCCTTGATGTTATCCTGGAGTGAAACTACCAGGGAATACACCCAGACCTGCCATCTGATAGGCATTACACCACTCTCCTCTGAAATAAATATTGTGATCTGTGCAGGGGAATCTCACATTTACACTACCGTCGCAAACTTCAGGATGTACCTTTTGTGCTTCAGTTCAGCCCTGTATGTGTGTGCCTGTGCTCTATGTGGCATCCTGTGCTTAGGACCGGATTCTCTAGCTGAAGAAGCACCTGGGTTAAGTAACTCTAGAGTTGGCCTCTCAGAATTTGACTAGCATTAGTAAAGAAGATTCAAATGCAGGCAAGCTGTTGGGCAAGCTCTGGAGGAGATGTAAACATGCTGTTGGTTAACTTCAGGGGAGACATATCCCTCGACACTGCCTGAAATCAGGAACATGGTTTGGCCAGCAAGACTCTTACTACTTTAGCATAGCACACTGCCTAGTAAAGCTTCTATTGCAGGTGTTTGTTAGAGGGTTGTCCTGGCACATACACTTCTCTCCCACCACATTTTCCTATGAGTTAGAAAATTCCTTAGTAAACAGAGATATACTAGACTGATCCAATTTAATCTTTCTTGACCTGATTTACTTGGATATGCTTTGTGTTTTGCTGTATATTTTCCCCCTTTATTCCAGCTGTCCATTACCTTTAGACATAATCCAAAAATCCATAGCAAATTCTTCTGTCGAGGGTTGCCCTTTGTGCCATTTCAAAGAGAGATGACTAATCCCAGTGACTGATGTCTCAAAGAGAAGGATGCAGGGCAGGAAGCTGGGCAGAGGCAGAGCTGCAGCCTTCCTCCCTCCCCAGTGTAAAGGCACAGCTCCATCTTGTGGGCACCTGTCCCATCTTCTTCCTCACT